TTGCCAGCAGCTACCAGAAGCTAGGAGAAAGGCATGGAATGGATTCTCCCTTTGAACCTACAGAAAAATCAACTCTGCCAATACCTTGATTTCAGGCTCTAGCCTCCAAAACTGTAAGAATAAATTTCTGTCTTTAAGCCACTTAGTTTGTGATAATTTGTAACAGCAGCCAGCCCTAGGACACTAACTAATACATCCTCTTCAGCTTCTTCTTCCAATCCTCAGAATCATGTGAGTTTTAATTCAATTCAAAGCTAAAAGGTAGGGGTGCCTGGGTGGCTTAGTCAGTTAAGCATCTAACTCTTGATTTCAGCTCAGGTCATGATCCTAGAGATTGAGCCCCATGTTGGGCTCTGTGCTGGGCATGGAGCCTATTTAAGATTCTCTTTCTCTCTCTGCCCCATGCACATGGTTGCTCCCTCTCTCTAAAAAAAAAAAAAAAAAAAAAAAACAAAAAAAAAACAAAAACAAAAACAAAAACAAAAACAAACACACATACACACACAAAAAAGAAAAAACAAAACAAAAAAAAAAACCAATACATACGACAAATCTTTTAATGTGGGTGCACCAGTGTTAGAGGGTATTAAAATTTTTAAATGGTTGAAAATTAGTCTCCTAGATAACCAATATTAGTAGATGAAGAATGAATTATCTTCATTTGCTCCACTGTGAATGTAAAAGGGACATCATGAAGAAACGAAAAATCAAGAACCAATGGAGTGAATTCAATTTCTGATCACCAAGTAATAGTTTTCGTCCCTTATCTTCTCTAGGTCACTTGCCCCAAGGAACACAAAGCAAAGCATGGTGCAGCCTTTAAAAATAATAAGGTTATAATTATTATTAATTTAATAAAAACGTATTACACAAATTCAACTATTACAGAAATTCATAATGTAGAAAATGACAATCTCCAATATGGTCCAACTTCCTCTAACTTTTTTCTCTCTAAATACATGAACAGTCTCTGTCTCTCTCTCCAGCCTTTTAAAAACTGGAATGGAGAATGTGTCTGCAGGATAGCCTCATGTTTACTAGATTTGGGGCCTAATTAAGTCAGATGAAAGGAAGGCTTGCTAAGTGGTCCTGAATGTAAGTCCTATTTCTTGCCAACCTTGGGTCAGGCACAAAACTCTGAGTAAACATATCTGATGTGAAATTATATTTTTGATTAGAACACAGGTTGATAAACTTTTCCAATAAAGGGCTAGATTGTAAATATTTTAGGTTTTGTGGGTCATATGGTCTCTGTTGCAACTAAAGACTGCTAATACAGTAGAAAAGCAGTTATAAATAATATGCATGTGAATGATCATGGCTGTTTTATTACTGTTTTATTGCTGCATAGCAAAGGACCACAAACTTAGTGACATAAAACATTTATTTATTATTTCTAGTTCTAAACGTCAGAAGGCTAGGTGGGCTTGGCTGAGTGCTCTACTTAGGGTCTGACAAGCCTGACAGGAAGGTGTTGGCCAGAAGGGCTCTCATCTGTAAGCTCTGGGGACGAATTTGCTTCTAAGCTCACTCAGAGTATTGGGAAAATCCTGGCCCTTGAGGTTTTAAAATCATTATCCCAGCTTCCTTGCTTCATGTCGGGGAGAGGGGGTCATTCTCAGTTTTTAGAAGTCTTTCTCAGGTCTCTCATAGGCTGTTCATAGTATGAATGTTTGCTCTCTTCCAGACCAGCTGGAGGACATCTCTCAAACTTCCTCTTTTACTCCCCGTCATGAAGAACTCTTTACTTTGAAAGTGCTCATGTGATTAGCTTAGGCCCATCTGAGTAACTTCCCAAAGACTAATCCAAAGTCAATTGATTAGTAACCTTAATTACAACTGCAAAAATCCCTCTTATCATATGTAACATAATTACCAGAGTGAAACCTCATTGTATTCACAGGTTCTGCTTGCACTTAATGGGAGGAGATCCTACAAGGAGGAATGTCATTGGGGGTCATTTTGGAGTCTGCCTACCACAGCTGTGTTCTCCAGCTTTATCTATAGACACTGAAGTCTGAATCGAGTAAAATGTTCACATCTCTCAAATATTACACCTTTAAATTCTTTTCCAACCATTTAAAGATGTAGAAACTATTCTTAACTTGTAAGGTTGCATAAAAACAGGCAGAGGGCTGCATGTGGTACAGGACCTATGGTTTGCTGACCCCTGGGTTAGAGGGTCAGATAAACAAACCTTATAGGAACACTAAAAGATTAATTTTCATAATATTCCACAAAGTGCCTTCTTCACAGTAAGTATTCAATGAGGGCATGAATGAACAAATACTGGGTTCTAGAAAAGACTGAGGAAATAAAGTGCACCCCCAAAATTCTGGTATGGAGTCCACTGCTGTGAGTAGAGTAAAAACAGTTATGCTTTTGATTATGAGACTAGGCATGGCCTAGGGGAGGCCTAGGTGGCCCAGAGCTCAGACCAGAGCACCATATCCCTTGGGCTCCAAAGTGAAACCCTGTAATTACAAGGGTTATGTAACAGTTAAAGTCTATCCAGCACATTTTATCTGATCGCTGGACTAAAAAGCCAAGCAAAACTCAGCAGTCTCTCTCTGAAATGCTGGGCTTTGTATCAAGGTTTGGGTCTCCTTAATGACTGGTTGGCTTATCTGGCTAAGCAACAGTGCCATAGTCCAACTGAATGTCATTGCATTTCTTGGTAAATGAATAAGGTGGGAATGGCTTGGACCATGCTGAGAGTCAAATGCATTGAAAACACAGGGCGGAGGAGAAAACTTGGCACTGCTCGGTGAGATCTCTTACCCGATACTAAAGGATCCATCCCCGGTATTTTCTAAGTTCCCTGGGATGATGGGAAGAGTCAGAGTATTGGCTGAGGCCATATCAGAGGAATAGTATTCATTCTGGAAAATCTGGGAGAGTGTTCTAGTCTGTAAACTACCCAGAATCCCAGATTCACAGAATGTCATGATGAGAAGGGATCCAAGCGACCACTTGCTTCAACTCTCATGTGCAGGAAGAAACCAAGTCCTGAGACATTAAATTACTTTCCCAAATGTCCCAAGCCAGTTAGTAAGAACTTAGGAGAAGCCTATTTATTGTGATTCTCAATAGAATACTATTTGTGTTCCATTTTCTCTTCTTCATTTGTCCCAGGCTCTTGCATATTTGTGCTGGTTATAGCATTTTGGCCAGAATTATGCCAGAGATTATTGTTCTTTCCTGCTCCTCCCACTGTCACAACACCACCCTGGGATGTTGTCACTTTTTACCTTGTATTTTAGAACACTGAAGAATGTGCTCCCTGCCTAGATTTTCATAGGTCCTTCTTGCCTGGTTGGTATTTTACATAACATATCCAGGTTGCTGGTAAAGAATCAGAGCCTTAGAAGCAGCCTGTTTTGGTTTATAGGCAGTCTACAAACTGGTCAGAGCAATCCTTGCATTAAATATCAACATCCAAGGAAGGCGGGAAGAGGTTTCTAAAGTATTTATTTGTATTTATAATTTGTGGCTCAGTTTTCCTTAAAAGGGAGAAGTCTGACTGCCCTGTGCCAACTTAGCAATACCCTAAGTCTTTGGAGAATATGCTTCTTGTTGGATCCCCTGGCAGTGAACATCTTTCCTTGCAGAAATTGTCCCCCATGTCTTAGGAACCCCCATCCCCATGGTTTCTCCCCTATTCCATGTACTTAGCCCCATCACCAGGTCTCTTGTACATCAGCTTTTGAGACCATAATCTAGGAGTCTTAAGAACTGAGCTCCCACCAGAGACCTATCTGGACTGCAATTCTCCAAAATCCTTTTTCTCTCTTGCAAGTCCTCAGGATGGCTCAGGCATGTTCTCTAATGGTTTCTGTGCCAGTGGTGCCCATCCTTTTTTTCTGCCTCTTGGTATTCCTTGGTCTTGCTTGGTATCCCTCTATAGCATGACAGGAGGTCATATCCTCTCATCAACAAAGGGTCCTTCCAGCTCCTCACCAAAATTGTGTTCAGTTGTCTCACCTTTCCTATCATCAGTTATGAAGATGTGGACATTTTTGTCACATCTGGCACTGCTCACTGGGCTTTCTCTTCCTTTTTTTAAATATTTTATTTATTTATTAATGAAAGACACACACACACACACACAGAGAGAGAGAGAGAGAGGCAGAGGGAGAAGCAGGCTCCATGCAGGGAGCCTGACACGGGACTCGATCCCGGGACTCCAGGATTGCACCCTGGGCCAGAGGCAGGCGCCAAACTGCTGAGCCACCCAGGGATCCCCCTCTCTTCCTTTTAATGTTAAAACTCACTTCTTAGATCTGCCTAGGGCAGCCTGGGTGGCTCAGAGGTTTAGCGCCACCTTTGGCCCAGAGCCTGATTCTGGAGACCCAGGATGGAGTCCCATGTCGGGCTCCCTGCATGGAGCCCGCCTCTCCTCTGCCTGTGCCTCTGCCTCTCTCTCTCTCTCTCTCTCTCTCTCTCTCTCTCTCTCCCTCTCTCTCTCTGTCTCATGAATAAATAAATAAATAAAATCTTTAAAAAAAAATCTGCCTTGCTGTGATTCTGATATAGTCTCCTATGTCCCCACTCTTATCCAACTCACTCTTTTTGTTCCCTAGAGCCACTGCTCATGAAAACTGTGGGACTAGCATGCTTGGATAGGTTCAGAAGGCTCTGTACAATTGATACCATAAAGTCACCTACAGAGAGCACTCTCTCTGCTAAGAGTTCCAGGAATGAACTCAGGTGGGGCCTCTGCCCCCATCATCTATGCAGGACACCATCAATGGAGATTAGGAAGCAGTCTCTGTCCCCCACCCCTTCCCACATGCATCACAGATGTTTCTTGAGGAAAACTACTGCAGCTTCATAGCTACCAGCTCTGAAGATCCTAGGACCCCCATTCTGAGGCTCCTTGCTGGACTCCCTGACCTCAGTCCTCCTTCTCTTTACATTTTCCAAGGACAACCGCATTCATGCAATTGAAAGCAATGCCTGTATTGTTGAAACCATGGCTATCTTCATACAACACTTACCTTTCTCTTCCAGATTCTATATCATGGGTCCTGAATATACCTTAGCAAGGGGACTCCTGTCTCAGTTCATCCTACAGGAGAAATAAGGCATTTCCTGTTATTATTTTTGCCCAGAGCCTTTAAAAAAGGCTTTGGTTTTTAAAGGTTGAGGCTTTAAAAAAAATCCTTTTACTCTGTTATATACAAAAACGATATGCTCAACCACCCAGAAAAATCTTGACATGACCTTCCTAGGAAGACGAGACCCTGCCCCAATCAGGCACACCCTTTGAAGGCTCACTCACTGATGCAGATTCTCTCCGGCTGAATTTGTCAAACTTTACTTTGTTCACTTATATTACAGGTATAGTAGATTTATCCTGTTTACCAAGTTATGAAATTCTACTATAACATGAAACACCTTTTTTTCCCAAAGTATACATACATGTCCTTCTAGAAATGCTGATACACATCCATAGGAACCTTACCCATTTGAAAATCAACACTATAAAATGTCAGGGAACAAAGAAAAGGTGTGAGGGTCACACAAAGAACAACTCTGTGGGACCTAAAGAGAAAAAGAAGAGTCTCATCATGAAACTACCTTCAGAATGCTTTCTGGCCAGAGTGTTCTCAAAAATGGGTATATGTTCTGTCTTAACATGCACATCATACTCATTAGGTGATACAGCCCAAATGAAAATAGTTTTTGCCCCAACTCCAAAAAAGTCCTGCTTTATAAATTTCTTGTTTCTCATGCAATGTGTTCTCTCCTATACCAGCTCATCAGTTTTGTGATTTGCCATTAATAGATCCTTGAAAAGCAATGCAAAAACCTCTAATCCATACAGCCCAGCTACAGGCATATGTATGAACTCAGAGCCCCCAGCTAGGAACAAGGAAGGGCTATATGTGTGTATTCTGGATGTAGGGAGTGTAATCCAAGAGATCACGGGTTTCAGGACTCTCTTTGAACATGATCATTTTTAAACTTTGCCTCTCCCTGAGCAATAATGAGGTCCAAGATGCAACATAATCCCAGGATATGACTAGGCATGAGAGTTCAATTGCTCCAACTAGCGGAGGCAAGAAAAGAATACCAACAGGACAACTCCATAGACATAAGGTATAAGGGATCATTACACAAGCTGGTCAACTCTGTATGGTCTTATCTGCCTTAGCCCCATAAAGCACCAGTGTGTGATTTAACATAGCTGGACCCACTCTTCAGAAACACATTGCAGTGGCTAAAGTTGTGCTGAATTGAAAGAAAAGAAAAATAGATGGTATTAATGGCTCCCTTTCATATCAACAGGATTTAATGAAAAAGGAGGCTTACTCATTTTTTAATGCCCCCAAATCTTAGTATGTGTCCAGGATATTTTGGGTTCTATTTAATATTTGACGTGAGTTTTAATTATTTTAGCAGTAGACAAAGTAAAAGCTGAGTAAATCATCACATGCAAGAAAATCCTGAAAACCTTACCAAACCTAAAGATAAGAATCAATAACTTTTAGCTTACATTTTTCATGAGGAAAAACAAATGTTTCAAGGAAGTGTCCCAAATTCTTAGACAAATCAGAGATAAGAAGCTCCCACTAGCAACTTCAGTGTTACTGGCCCAATTTAGCAGTTTGGGCCTTGGCAGCAGTCCCACTGACAGGACAGAGGACTCTTTGGGAAGACAGGCGATTTAAAATGCAAGTGTTATTTATAAATTATCTCCAGATGGTCCAGTTCCTACAATTCCTAAATTGCTCAGATTTTCAGAGTGGAAATTTTAATCACAGACATTTAAGGTTGATTTGGTCTAAGCTGGGGACAATTTGGAGAACTCAAATGACAAAAAGAAGGCAAAAGAATCTCTCCTGGGATTGCTCAGGAGACTTGCCCTTGCTTGTGATGTCTTAGTTAATCACCATTTGCATTCTGTTTTACAGTTCACAAAGCCCTTTTCTAACACTCTCAGAGAGGGCTTGCCTTTTGCACCTGGGAGGAACTGCTGAAAACATCTTCTAGGGAAGGAACCAAACTGAATAGTCAGTTGACTGTTAGAGCATATCCTTCTCTCTCTCTAGTACAGGATAGGTATTAGAGTTCCAATGCTACCTGTTCCTCTTAAGTACTTCCTCATAGCAGGAGCTAGGTCTGATCTATACTTGGCCATTTCTACTGCTTTATTCCCACACCTCCCTCACTCTCCTTCCTCCTTTCATTCCTCCCTCTTTTAGTCCCTTCTCCTTCCCTTTTCTCCCTTCCTTTCTCCTTTCTATCCTTCCACTGTTCTTTCCATTATTTTTTTCACTTATCCAGTAATTGTTTATTAAGCCCTTACTATGTGCCAGGCATGGGGTTGGGTGCTGATCAGAGGTCAAAACACACATTCTTCAGATGCCAGGACAAAAAATAGGACCTGAGTCCACTCTCACCATAAAGCTTTGTAGGATCACATAAATTCCAGCACGAGAGTCCATGGATGCAAAGAAAAAAAAAAATCTTACCATTTCTACTTCTACCAATGATGAATTCAAGACTCTGAGGAAAGCTGATCTTCCCAAGAGAATAAAATTACAAGTGAAGATGGTGGGGGTGGGGAGCAGTTCTCTTAGGCCTCCACACTGGCTGTGACTATTCTGTGTATGTTTTTGGTTTAGCTGAGGAAGAAAGAAGAAACAGAGGGATGGTGATGTGTTACCAGGCCTATTCAATGGACCACAGCTGAAGGAATAGCTTTGAATCACAGACAATGCTGGGCACAAAGCAGGCATTTGATGACTTTAGAATAAGTGATCCAGAGGATCATTAAGAAGGAATGTCATTATTGCCCAGGTTCATTGACTTGTATGGATAAAATACATAAAAACCAGATAAGAACAGTTTACCTAAAGAAAAAAATGGCTGATATAGCAAGGACATCATAAGAATATAGATATGTTATTTGTTGGAAGGCATCATACACACCTGTATAATTGATTTACAAATTAATTCTCTAGGAAGAATAATACAGTGGTTATTTTAGCAATGATGGTCGCCAAGAATGCAATAATGAAGAAAGTAGGACAAAGAGTGGTAGCCCAGGGGCTTTCAAACTCTAGTACACATCAAAATTACCAAGAAGGATTGTTAAGACATGCATCACTAAATAGGCTCACCTCCAGAGTGTCTGAATCAGGAGGTGTGGGGTGGGTCCTGGGAATTTGTGCTTCTACTTAGTTCCTAGGTGAAACTGATGCTGCCCCTCTGTGGGAGTACAGTGAGAATCCTGAGTTAGACAACAGCTTGGGGAAGAGCATGAAAAGGCATGGCATAGGCAAAGATGGGTGCAAGAGGCCCATGGTTGAATGTAGTGGACATCCTGTGTCAGGGACTTGGAAAAAGGATGATGTGGATGACATAGAGAACTCTGAGCCAAGGAAGGAAGAGAGGAAGGAAGGAAGGAAGGAAGGAAGGAAGGAAGGAAGGAAGGAAGGAAGGAAGGAAGGAAAAACTTTCTAAAGCAAGAGAGAGACATTAAACGTTTTGATGAGAAGCATAGTGGATGTCACAACCTGTGTTTCAGAAAGGTAACTAATGACAAGGTGAGAGGTTTGGGTCACTATGAAAGCAAAAAAATTTGTCTGGGCAGGATCTGTGGCTATTCTGTATAATTTCATGATAGAGTAAATTGAGAGAGAAATTTAGTGAAATGATACAAAATAAATGGAAATAATTTTTTAACTCTAGGATTATAATCTAACAATATAATGCTATTGATTTATTTTTAAAATATATTTTAATTTAAGCAATATATATATATACTTTTTATTAAGATTTTAGAAATAACAAAAAAGAAGAGGAAAAAATCAGTCATCCATATTCCTATTACCTCCACACGTCTAGTAATTTTTTTAAATTTTATTTCTTTTTAAGTTTTTTTTTTTTTTTAGCAATCTTTACACTCAAAGTGGGGCTGAACTCATGACCCCAAGATGAAGAGTCACATGCTCTTTCAACTGAGCGAGCAAGGAACCTCAACCCATAGTAATTTTTTAGTGTATTGTTTCTATTGTCTCTTCATCATTTTTATGTACAAGAGTATTTTGCTGTATTGTGACCATACTATAGATAAAAGTTTTCTCCTACCTTGTTTTATACAAATTATTTTCCGAAGTCATTGTAAGCTTTTGCGAAACACAAGAATTGCCAAACACATATGCCATAGCACATACTGCTGTTTGCCTATCTAATAATCAGTCCTATTCCAGATGTACCCAACTGGTTAAATCCAGGATTTTTTTGGTTCAAACCTCCCCTATTTGATGTAAGTAAATCTTCATTAATATAAAACAATCAAAGTAGTTTTCTCTTACCAATAATTAACTTAATGGGTTTCTTTCCGAAAGTATCAAAGATTTTTACTTTGACAAAGTTTTCTATGACTATAGTAAGTTGAACAGTGGACTTAGGGCTATGTGGTCCTAATCCCTGAACCTGTAAATGTCACCTTATTTTAAAAACGGGTCTTTCCACGAATGATTAAGTTATGGATCTTGCTGGATTATCTGGGTGGCCCTAACCACCATGATCAGTATCCTTGTAAGAGAGAGGCTTCCACAGCACACATACTAAAAATGGAATACTGTAGAGAAGACAGCATGGTCCCATAAAAAAATGATAAGCAAATTTGTGAAAAGTTCCACATTTAAAAGAGAGAGAGAGAGAGAGGCAAAGGGAGATTTCACATAGGCACACAAAGAAGAAGGCGATATGAAAATGGAGGAGAGACATTTGAAGACTGGACTGAGGTGGCCAATGCCAAGGAACATCAACAGCCCCCAGAAGGTAGAAGAGACAAGGAATGAGTTCTCTCCTAGAATTTCCAGAGGGAGCACAGCCATATTAATGCCCTAATTTTAGCCCAGTGACACTGATTTTGGACTTGAGGACTCCAGAACTGTGACAGAACAAACTTCCATTGTTTTATATCACCAAGTTTGATGTCTTAGGAGCTTCGGACAACTAACACAGAGACCCACGTCCAAACACTTCTTGAAATGCTCTGTCCCAGTTCTGGTCAATAAGACATTGTCTATGGGGACGCCTGGGTGGCTCAGTGGTTAAGCATCCACCCTAGGCTCCTAGGCTCAGGGTGTGATCCTGGAGTCCTGGAATTGAGACCCACAACCGACTACCTGCATGGAGCCTGCTTCTGCCTATGTCTCTGCCTCTCTCTCTCTCTCTCTCTGTCTCTCTCTGTCTCTCATGAATAAATAAATAATATCTAAAAAAAAAAAAAAGAAGAAGAAGACCTGGTCTAGAAATGGAAGGCTCTTCTTGGAAAGGTTTTCTTGCTCTAAGAAAAAGAGATGTGGGGGATGGGTCTAATTTTTCTACTGCATGTTGTTGCATCTACCTATAACATTAAAACTGTGGCAGCCACCTTGTGACTATGAGTTAGGTCAACCTGAGAATAAGCCAATGTGCCAAAGGTGGGAGAGCAGAAAGATGGAAAAAAACCTTAAGCCTTTGATGATATCATCAAACTGCTTTAACTAACCAGCCTTGGGACTTTCCTATCATGAGATGTCTTGTTATGCAATATAATCTTCTTACGTGAGGTTAATGTGATTTTTAGGCTATCTTTAGTTGGGTTTTTCCTTACTTTTGGCTGAAAGCAACATACCAGATGTGTGCATCAAATAGATTAGACCATAATTAAGAAATTTGCATACTACGGGCCTGAAGCCTACTGCCTGGCTTTGTAAATAAAGTTTTATTGAAACACAGTTGCATAGACTACTGTTGTCTTTTGTACTACATGAATAAAATTGAGTCATTTGATGGAGACTGAAGACCTACAAGCTTAAAATTATGCTGCCTGGTTCTATCAAAAAAAGTTTGGAAACTTTTGCCATTCTTGAATATGTCCATTCCTTTATTGTTGCATATTGTTTTTCTAGTTTCTCTGAAAACTGTCTTTACATAAAAATTTTAAAACCTGTCATTTGACCATACACAACAAGTGTTATATATAAAGGGTTCAATAAGAAAGTAAATAACACATTCACGGAAACGATTTATAATCATCTCCCACTTCATTTGTGATCTTACCAGAGTCTGCCAAAGGTTAGGATCAACACATGAGACTGCATTTTCTGCATAGGTGATTACAACAACTAATACAAAACTGAAGCCTAATCTAGAAGAAAAACAAGGAAAAAAGCTTTTCTCTCCCTTTTTTAAGTTTAAATCAGCCAAACTAAACTTCCTCCAGGGCTGAATGAGGTTGGTGGGATGCACATCACAGTGAATGTTATTACAGCTGGAAGAGAAGAGCCTAAGCAGTCTGCTGTAGGCCAGCCTGAAGCATCCCACTTTATGGTTCCATCCCATGCAGGGAGAAAGCTCTTATTCAGTGACTAAGGCAAGACTCAAAGCTTGTCATATAAATGCAGCCAATTGTATATTTAATTGATGTTTTGACTCCATGCCATACTCTCTCCCTCTCTCTTTAAGAAGAAAAAAAAAATCACTTCTTTTTAGAAAGTTCCCTACAAAGCACTGCACTCTGAAGGCACCTTCCTTTAAATGATCTGGGTGGCAGGCAGTCCTGCTGTTAAAATTGTGGCTGCATACAAGCGGGTTGCAGGAGGGAGTCAGTGACCAAATAACCTTTTGAACTTTGTGGGGAGGTCAAGCTGTAGCTGCCCCAGCCATTTCTACTTGCTTCCTTAGAAGCTGCTCAGGAGGCTCTCCTTGGGCACTGAAAGAGCAAAATGTTCACATCTCCTAAATTCTTCTGGGGGCTTGCAGGATGCCCCCTGGGGCAAAACGCAAATAAACTGGCAAGGTGCATAATCTGAATAATCTTTGAGGATGAGCCAAGCCTTGTCCTTTTGTCATGAGGAATCATCTAGAAGGCGTCTGGCATCCTGGAGGGAGTCCAGAGTAAACAGCCCCTGAAGGCAATGCTCTATAAATGCCCAGGATCTGGCTGCGCTCTAACATACACACACACACACACAACACTCACTCACTCACTCACTCACTCACTCACTCACTCACTCACACAATGCAACGTGCAGCAAAAACGCCACCACCAAATCCTCAGGAAAACAACCAGAAAACCATTGGCTGCAGTGTGCCAGACACAGAGAATAGACAATCAGAGGCAGAAAGTTTCAAGTCCATGAATATTCAACAAGAATCACTGTAGTGCTTTTGGAAAGCTCCTCATTGGCACTTTCAGCCTATTCCACAGTTACCTTCTTTCCAAAACATCTGATAGGGAAGCCTTCTACTTCCTTTCCCAAAGAATGCTGGATGTGTGCTACATTTTCCATATCAACTGTGCAAAACAGTGAACCCCCCTTCCAACCCTGCTTCTTAACTGAGACAGATATTAAAATCAATGACTGAGAAAGCACTCCTTTTATTGAAAGACGTTAGCTTTTATAAGATTTAAAATAATAATGATAGTTAATAAATAACTAAAGAAAATAAAAATTTTTATTTAAGAAGTGAGGATAAGAGCACATAAAACTTGAGCATTTTTGCTTTTATAACTTCAAAAAGTTTGATACATGTCTGCTATTGCACATAAATTTCAATATAGAGCCCTATAAAGTGAGAGGGATGGGGTTATTTATTCAATTGCAATGGAAGCTCAGAGTGA